ATATCAATAAGCCCAGTAACAACTTCGGTGCTTGACAGAAACCCAGACCTTATAAGATAACAATGTATGTTCACTGCTTGCTGCAAATCAGCAAGGATGGCATATGCAGGAAGGAGACTGTTTAAGGAGGCATGATCAGGTTTCACTGCATTCATAAGCATTTGCTTGAAAATTTCTATTGCTTCTCTGGCCAGCCCATTGTGAGTGCACCCAGAAAGGATTGCATTCCACAGAGCTGTTCTCTTTTTTGAAGTTTTCATAAAAACTTGGAAGCTGAGGTCAATACGATTGCATTTTGCATACATATCAATCAGTGAAGTTTCTACCAGAACATCAAACTCCAGTTTTTGCCTCACTGCCCATCCATGGAACCACCTGCCGTCCATTAGGTTCTTTGAACTGCCACAAGCTGAAAGAAGAGAGGCTAAAGTCACTGAGTTGGGTCTCACACCATCAAAAAGCATTAATGGGAAAAGCGATATTGCGCTTCTCACATCACCATTCAAAATGTAACCATTAATAATAGAAGTCCATGACACTACATCCCTCACAACCATCCTATCAAAAACTAACCATGCTTCAGCCATACTACCACACTTTGAGAACATATCGACCAAGGCATTCCTCACTGATATATTCTTTCCCAAGCCCTTTTCTGCTACCAAAGCATGAACCTTTCTACCCACCTCCAATTCCCTCAAATAACTGCAAACAGGCAACACAGCAACCATAGTAGCACAATCCATCTCAACACCTAAATCCACCATCCTATCAAGAACCATCAAAGCCTCCCTGGCACACCCATTTTTAAAGTACCCACTGATCATTGAATTCCACGAAACTGTGGTCCGCTCCAACATTGTATCAAAAACCTTCTCTGCAGCCTCCTCCTCTCCACAATTCATATACATTGCCAACAGTGAATTCTGCACAAAGGTGTCTGCATGCAACCCGGCCATCAAAATCCGCCCATGAACCACAGCACCAAAACCAAGCAACGACAACTCCCCACATGCCTTCACCACAAAAGTGTATGCATAGTTATCCGGACGGCATTCCCCTGTCTCAAGCATTCCAACAAACACATTAAGCGCGTCACAGTAACAACCACTATTGACATACATCCTTATCATAGCATTATACAAGAACGAGCTTCTTTCAGGCAATTCATCGAAGAGTTTACGGGCGTTTGGGATGTGCCCAGAAATAGCATAGGCAGCGGCGATGTTGGCGCGTAGTTGGGTGGAGAAGAGGCTTGAGGTGATGCTGAAGGCATGGAGTTGTTTGGTTTTTGTGATTGATTGCGTGGCTCCATAGTGCTTCAGGAGAGACTGGCACTGGGCTATGGTGAGAAAGTGCCCTGCTCTAGACAGGGATGGGCCATTCATCAAAAGTTTTCGGAGAGAAGAAATACGAGAAAACTCTGTTGCCTCCCGTCCCTCTCTTAGTATAGGCAAAAGGTACCTGTTTGCCCCTTAACTTTACGAATTTGAGGGTTTTTACCTTCCATATTACAATACATGAATTTTTACCCTTCATATTTTCGAGTTTGAGGAAATGAGTCAAAATTTAACGCCGGAGCGTCACGTGTAGCACGTGCACCATTAGCCTCCGTCAAGTATGCACATATCAACACCACCTCAGACTTTTTTGACAACTTGGCATGCCAACTTGGACCCCATGAACGGAAATTCTACTTGCTACCAATTTTATTTATGGACCCCACTGCTGATTAAAGGTTAAAAATATATATATATAGATGAATGCCAAGAAACCGTCCGACTATTCACTTTCCTCTTCCCTTCTTCAACCATTTCTTCAACTTCTGCAAATCTCTAACATTTCAACCAATCTATTCACCTCAATCAATTTCTACATTCTGAGTTCTTCATTATCATCAAACAACAAAACGCACAGAAAACCAACAAAAAAAAAACAAAACCCACTGGGATTCTTCATCATCATAAAAAAAACAAAACAAAACCCACAGAAAACAAAAAGAAAAAAAAGAAATTTTTTACCACTGGTTTACATCCAACCCGCGCCTGGGTTCGTTGGAACCCAGCGCTTGGGTTCCCTGTAACCCAGCAGGGAACCCAGCGCTTGGGTTCCCGGGAACCAACGCTGGGTTCCATCGAACCCACGCCTAGGTTCGTTGGAACCCAGCACTTGGGGTTCCACCGAACCCAGCGCTTGGGTTCCTTGGAACCCAGGCGTAGGTTCCATCAAACCCAAGCGTTGGGTTCGATGGAACCCCAGCGTTGGGGGTTCCACCGAACCCTGGGGTTCCAACGAACCTAGGCCTGGGTTCGATGGAACCCAGTGCTGGGGGTTCCACCGAACCCAGGCCTGGGTTCCGGCTTGGGTTCCATTGAGGCTTTTTTCAACAAAGGGAGAGAGAAAGGAAAGGAGAAGGAAAAACAAAAAGAAAAAAGAAAGATTTTTTTTTATATTATTATTATTTTTTAATTATTATCATAAAATCTGAGCTGGACTTGCCAACATGTAAAAGAATTCTGAGTTGGCATTGACACGTCAAGGTATAACGGAAATTAACATGCACGTGTCGCACGTGATTTTTTACCGTTAAATTTTGCTTCATTTCCTCAAACTCGAAAATATGAAGGGTAAAAATTCATGTATTGTAATATGGAAGGTAAAAACCCTCAAATTCGAAAAGTTAAGGGGCAAACAGTACCTTTTGCCTCTTATTATGTACGCACTGAGTTTGAGGTTTTGAGTTAATTTTATTAGCGTCATTTGTTTTTTTGGACCATTGCGTTAGTGACCCTAATTTTTATTTTATTTCATTTTGATCCCAATTT